ATCTCTCTCTTGCATAAAAAACTTAATAGTAATATAATAATTATAAAATAATTATAAAATAGCTATATATATATATATAATATTAATAAAATAATAAAATATGATATAATGATACACAATTCGAGTACGGCGTAGTAATAATAATAATAATAATAATAATAATATTAATAATAAAGAAAACAAATATCTGCACTTTTATCTACACTTTGTCTACAACACAGTTATCATCTTCCTTGTCAAACTTCGCATTTCTTCGGTTTATACGATTCTTTATCGCAGTCAAGCTCCCCCCAATTCGTCTCGACATAATAACGTATCTTGACTCATTCGAGAGAAAGAAGATCACGTCGGGAAACGCGTGTGCGTGCATGTCTCTCCCTCCTCTTTTCTTTTTCTAAGATCGACGTGTTTGTGTTTGTGTTTGCGTGCGTATGTGTGTTCGTGTGTATATGCAATCGGCTATTTTCATTATCGCGGATCCCTTTAAAGTACAACCGGCCGCGTGCACGCGAGACCGTACCGAGTCCGAGACGATGTCTCATGTGCTTCTCTCTGTCTCATCGCGCGGTTTCACCGCACCTTGCACCCTTTTACCCCCCCCCCCTTTTCCCCGAGAAAAACTCTCCTCGCGCGTTTCACTCTCCTCACGGCATTCTCGCGCATGCTTTCGCGACGTTCACCCAGCGGCGAGAGTTTTACCGATCGAGCTGCGTCGAGACCTTCTCGCCGGGACACCCTCGGCAATCTGACTTAAATCGCACCGAACTACGCAAGCACCATGCAACAACAACACCGGCCCGTCGATTGATAAGACTCGAAGTGCAAAAACAGGCTATATCGCTATATGTACATCTGTGTAAAAACGTGGTATAAAATGAGTATTAAGTGAAAAACTTTGATCGAGCCGAGAATTCAGAAACAATGCGGCGATATAAAAAATGCAGTGCGGTCGCACGGGGGAGGGAGGGAGAGAGGGAGGGGAGTGGGGGGAAGGTCTCGCGGGCGAATGGAACGATCTCGCGGGAGCCGTGAGAGACTGAAACTTCTTTCGTCTTATTATGAACGTTGTCGACGGGCAAAAATGAATGGAAAAAAACGCGAATTCCAGATCTGTCTGCTGAGAAGCGTTTTGCGAACGCTTCCTCCCAATAACAAAATATAATATTAATAGTAAACCAGACGTTGCCATCGGCGCCCACCGACATACGGAATCTCTTTTTTTATGCCGATCTGCGTGTGCATTCTTCTTTTTCTTTACATATGTATGTATATGTATATATATATATATATATATATATATATATATATATATATATATATATATGTATATATATATATATACACACACATATATATTGGTGATTCATATCGCCGGAAGGAAAAAAAAATATATATATATTATTCATGAAAGACAAAAAACGTATCCCGCGCGCGGACATCGGCATTTATCTGATCGATAAAAATACTCCGCGTCCGATAACGAGTAAAACATGCAAATGAAGACAGATGTTCGCGGCAAGAGTGAATTATCATCGTACGGGCTGACGGTCGACAACCGCGAAACTGCTAAACAGTCGATTATCGTTGAGTGCGAAGAACAAAAAAAAAAAAGAAAAAAGAAGAGAGAGAAAAAACGAAACGCGACTATTTCTCCTTAATTCCTCCATTTCAGATCGTTCCCCCGCGAACCGAATCGAAGTCTCTCTCTCACTCGTTCGCCCTCGGGCTAATAGTCGTTACTAATAGTCGTTACTTGAGACCCCCCCCTCCAATAAGATATTCAGACTTCTATTCAGAGTTCGAGTAAGTTTTTCAGTTGAATTATATATGTGATAATCATATAGATATAGTAAAAATAGATCGAGCATGAGGCGCGAAAACTGAGGATCAGATAGAAAGAGACGGAAGATAGGTACCGCATCTTTCATTTTCACTCTTTCCTAATTAGAGAATGCTTTCTTTTCTACCTGATCTTCACCGTCAAGTAGAGAACACGCTCAGTCTATTCTTATTATGTGTAAGGTGATAATTATATATCTGAATCGCGATTCAACTGGAAAATTCTCACTCAGCTCCGTATTCAAATCGAAATATCTCACTTGGAGACGAGTTTTCGAGTTTAATAACTATTAATACGGACCTCACTCGCTCACTCGCACACACACACAGACAGACAGACACACACACACACACATACAGTGGAAGTCCTAGGAAAATATTACGCTCAAGGATCGCCCAAAGAGATCCGCAGTCTTTCGATGTCCGCGCGAGACGCCGCGCGTCCACGCAAACGGCCGTCCGAAGTTCTCGACTCGTCGCGAGATATCGCGGACCGTTGGCGGTATCGTCCGTCGAACACGATAAACGGCCCCGGGCATCACGTGCGCGAAACGGCGGCGCGACTATCGGTTCACCGTAACCGTCAGTATCGGCCGCGACGATTGAAGGGCGCGCGGGGGCGCGCAGCAACGGAACTGCCTCTCGTATCCATCAGAGAGCACTCGCGCGCATTTGCGAAGTCGTCCTCGACTCTGCGCGTCCCGCGAGACCACCTTCTAATTCGCTCGTCGCAGACTCATTCGTATATCGCACCGCCGAGCGCGCGACGTCGACTCGACGCGACCTTATCGTTCACCGTGTCCGACGCACTATCGCGGAAAGTCTCCGTCGTCGTCGTCGTCGTCGTCGTCGTAGTCATCGTCGACGAGAAACGTAACGAGCATATCGCATCTCCTTTTACCCTGCCCCGCGCGTCTTCTCTCCCCTCCTCTATACGTATACGTACGAAGGCATACGGAAATCGACGTTTCTCGCGTTTTGCGAGGCTCGAGCCCCGCGCTGGAGGACTCGTTAGGTGTCGGTGATGTTAACGAGCACGCTCGCGCGTCGTCCGCATCGTCTCGCGCGCCGCAAGCACGCGACGGAAGCGCGCGCGGCTTTGGGAGAATCGCCCTCACAACGTCAGCAACAATAATACTACTCGCGAAATTTGCAATTCTCGGCCGCGCCGGGCAGGAGAGGCCCCGCCGTCGCGCGTTCCCGGCGTCCGATACATACTTCACCCCGCTTCTCCCCGTGCCTGATCCCCCTCCTTCAGAACTTCGCGTCTTACGCAACGAACGTCAGAGAAAGACAGCAAAATATAATAAGATCAACAAAAAAGTAAAAAAAAAAAAAAAGACAAAAAAAAACAACAGCGAACAACCACCACGATTATATCGTCGTCGTCGTCGTCATTTCGTTCTCACGGGTCTTCCCTTTCCCGCGCCCTTTTTATACACGCGTGTGTTATAATGATTTTTTTTTTCTTTAGTTAATTAATAATTTAATGAGTCGTTTAACGCGACGCCTCACGACGCGATTCCCCCATTCTTCTCCTCTTGCTCGTCTTCTTCCATTTTTTTTTTCTTTTCCCCCTCTTTAGTACTGCATATATCGGAGAGAGTATCGATATACAATTGCGGTTCCTCAATATAATATAATATACCTTCCTAAAATATACGGTCAAATCACTGCCGCGAGCAGCAATTCCGAGGCACTACGAACAGGCCACAGAGAATATGGCCGCACAATTATCATCTTCAGATCTCTGTGTGTCTAAATGATAAAAGACTAACTGTAGAACGCCTAATACGTACGTAATCGTTAATTATACTTACTCATCTCGTCGTCTATAGACTCATTATGTAATGTACAATAATTAGAGAGATCACACGTCTTAATATAGAAATTTTAAAAGATTATTCTCTAGTACGTGTTGAAACCGTCCCCTTCCCCCTCCCTTCTCCTCTTCCTCCTCATCATCATCATCCTCCATCTTTTCCACATCGTCTACCTCGTCTTTTTCCCCTCATTTAAGTATTGCCACAAAATGTTTTCTTCTTCTCCCGATTTCCCTTCCTCCCCCTCCTTCTTTCTTCCCTATTTCTTCTCCTCTTTCGAAAGGTGACGATGATAATTTTCCGAAAGATGTGAGCGGACCCCCCCACCGCGCACGCGAGAGCGAGGTCCACCAAAGTCTTTTCTTTACTTTGAGCTACGCTATCGGCTACCCTACATTTTTTTTTTGTTTAACGCTAACCTCTACGGTGTCTCAGCCTTCTTCCACGTTCCCTCCACTTTTCGTACGCTCTTACCTAGTGTATTTTTTTTTTATCAGCACCAATCTGATTTTTAAAACCGATTCAAAATATCGTCATATAGTTAGAATAATAATATAACCTGTCGTATAAATATACATTCAAATATTACTATAGTATACAAGAGTCGCATCTCCCCTTTCGCGCGGTGTCGCGCGGTACCCAACCGGTCGTACTTGACGCGCGAATCTACCGGAAAGCTATGGCTCGGCGCAGGCGGGGAGGATACGTCGTCCTCGTAAATCCTACCTATAATTTCTCTCGTATCTTCCTCTTTTTTCCATATCTCGTCGTATCTCTCTGCCC